TCATGGCCATGGCGAAGGATTTCGAGGGAGCCGCGTTGCTGCCGGCCGAAATCAAGGAGGCGGTGACGATCCTGCTACATAAAAAGGGGGACAAGGAGCAGTTAAACAACTATCGGCCCATTACGCTGCTGAACTTTGCGTACAACGTCTTAGCTCGGGTGGTAGTGGATCGGATGAAGACGGTACTTCACATGGTCATCTCACCTGTGCAGTATGGCTTCATACCATGAAAGCGGCCGTCGGACGCAGTCGCCTTGGTGGCGGATATCATCGAGAGCGCGAAAAATGAGAATGATGATCGGTACCTGCTTCCAGAAAGAGTTTGATTCAGTCTCCAGAGTCTTCCTGTTTCAGGTGCTAGAGTCCATGGGTTTCCCGGAGCGGTTTGTTGGCTGGGTGAAAGGCCTATGAGTGGACAACAACGAAATTGCTGATCACAAACGTCAGGGGTTCGTCAAGGCTGTCCCTTGCCGCTTTACCTTTTTCTGTGCGCGGTGGAACCATTGGCTTTGGAGGTGGAAAGGAAGGGGCTCGGGCTTGAAAAAGCGGGCACCGGCTCGGCTATCTTGGATACATGGATGATACGGCATTAATCCTGCAAGGAAAGGAGCAGACTGGTCAGGCGGTGGTCATTCTAGATCGGTATGAGAGAGCCTCGGGGTTGGCAACAAACAAAACAAAATCAGTCATCTTACCTTTGGGGGCTAACATTGGCGCGGCTGGGATAGGAAGCTTTAAATGGGCCAGAGCGGAGGAAGCGGAGCAGCTGTTAGGTGTTTGGGTGACGCCGTCCAGTCAGGGTCGGCCGACCTGGGAAAAGGCGTGGAGCCGAATCTCGGAAAAGCGTACCAAGTGGCAGCTAAAGTACCTGACAATCACAGCAAGAGCGACGGTGGTTAACTTCTATATCACGCCAATCCTAGCTTTTCATGCGCAGATTTTTCCGCCGCCAGCGGATATATGGCTGGAGATCACGCGACTAGTACACGGTTTTACCTCGGGTAACAAAGTAGTGACGGCGAAGGGCTTCGCACTTTGGAGCAGAGAGTTGCTGCACACTCCAAGGCTGGACGGAGGGATTGGAGTCAGGGACCCTGAGATTCTCATCACCTGTCTAGCGGCAAGAAGAGTAGGTCTCTTCATCACAGAGAAGAACCCACTAAAAAGGGATCTCATGGAACGGGCTGCGAAGCTTCCGTTGGGGGTGGACTTGTTCACTGCGCACGTAAAGTTGTTGAAGCATTGGGGAAGCGGCAACACTTGATGGAGGCAGACGGTGGAAAGTTTCATGCGCTCTCCTTTCTCCATCAGGAACCTGGTGGGGAGCAGAGAAGAGGTTTTAAAGGAGAGACTGGTTTTCAACACAGCAGTTCTTCTCAACGGCACCACAAACCCAGTGGGGGGACAAATAGACGCTCAGGGGCTAACAGAGCTACGGATTGGAGATTTGCTAGAAGGGGAGGAAGGTGGTGTGGCGATTGTAAAACCCATGGAGGTGCTGAAGTAGGAACTTGGCGGGAACGGGCCTGCGAAGCTAGCGATGAGGGCGTTGCTTGCTATCCCGTCTCACTGGCAAAGACTGCTTGGTTTTCCAACAGTACCCCCGCGCTCGGCTGGCTCTCCTTCGCGGATACCAATCCTGGAGGAGGAGCGGGTAATTTCCATGAGGCGGATGAAGGAGGGCTGGAAGGGGACTTACAGCCAGTCATACTAGCAGCAGAAGTGGGGATCACGTTGGGGGAGCCACATTGACTGGAAGCAGGTAGTAACAACCCGGGACTCTCTGGCTGTTCCCAGCCGTCCGCGGGATGGCTTGATACGGATCCACTGTCTGAATTTACAAGTGGGGGAAAGGTTGGCCTTCCTCAGCAGCAAGCCAACCTGTCCATACTGCGGGGAGCAAGAAACCCTGAAGCACTGCCTCATCCTCTGCCCCAGGATACAAGCGGTGACCTCGGCTCTCCAACGCGCCCTGCGCATGCTGAACCCCAAGACCAACAGCCTCGCTTGGTGACATGCTGTTCTGGAAAACGGGCACCAGGCCATCTTTCCCGGAGCCGACTCTCACGTCAGTGGCTCTGCATCAAGTCTTGCTGGAAAGATGCGAAGCAGTTTTTTTGGGGCAGAAGTTTCGGGTACAGAGATTTCTGTGGAGGGCGGGGTCCGCTTTTAGGCTACACGCATGGATCTACATTCGTAAGATGGGGGCAACTCGGAAGAAACGATTGCAAGAAAACTTGGCGGAGGAGAAAAGGATGCTGAGTAGGATCAAGATGGATGGCAAGGGGTGGACGTGGACAAGTGCGTTTGCCGCACTCTGGTCCAAGAGGAGCGCATGAAGCTACTCGCACTAGACGGCTCACCTGGAACAATAGCTTGTTTTACAGTTGCCTCACACACGGTTACGGCCGTTTAATGGTGTATGCTTGTGTTTCGGTATATACTCATCAATAAAAAAAAAAAAAAACACACACACACACATACACACACACACGCACACACACAGACACACACAATCACACACACAACAACAAAAAGTCATGTATCTAAACAATTCTACTAATTTTATCATCTGTATAAGGTATAGAGCATACAAGTGTACATAGATGAGAAGGTGGTGTTTGGAACCCACCCCCATGGGTGAAATATATAAAAACATCTGTACACAAAAAGGCGGTGCGGTGGCAAAACCCCCCCATGCCCCCTCCAAGGCCCCCTTACCCCCCAATCCTCCTCACAGCCAGGGCTGACGTTTCATTTTAAGCCTCCCTGATTCCGGGGAAAATTTCCCCCCTCTATTATGGGTGCACATTTTCCAGAAAAGTAGTACCCTGATTGCTCAGGGTTGTAAAGTAGTTAACACTGATTGTTCAGGGTCGAGAACTGGACATCAGAGTAGTAACGCGCGCTTTGTTACCGGGGAAAAAATTCCCACTCTCCATAAAGTCTGCGCGCTGTGTTTCCTGCTGGCTGTACACTCGACTGATTTGTGCAGGGCGGGTGTGATTGACCTATCTGGTGTGCGAGTGTAACGTTTCCCAGTCTTATTACCATGCCCAATCGGATCTCTTCATCTGGCATGCATCAGACACGCTGCGATTGTAGTTAGTCACCCTCAGAGGCGTTCCTTCTGGAGCGAGTGTACTGACCGAACGGGCGAGTCACACCTGTTCGAGTCTAAGATTTCCGCTGCCAGAGCCTATTTCGACCAATCCCAGCAAAGTATATCTGACATTACAGATTCGCGCGATCTCGATGGTAGGTGTATCAGATCGAAGTTTCGAAGAAACTTCGTCTCGATAAAGGGGGAAGGGGGGGGATTACACAGGATGCTCAGCGACTGCACGCGAATTTGGTCTGCCCAAGCTCGACAGCCTGCCCAATTGCAAGTAGCACTAGCCAGTTGCACGCACGATACAAGCCCCTATTTTGATCGCAGCCGTTGAACAAACAGCTTATCACGCTGGCATCCGTCCGTTTGTGAGACATTTCTTCACCTGCCCACTACAGTCCCGATTTTGCCCGTGGCGAATGTTGGCGAGGAAGCGAAAAAGGGCTGCTCACTAAACACCCAAATGACCGGAAAATTTGTGTGAGTCAAACGCGCTTCCTGTGTACGCACATGTGGGGGGATCACTGCGATCAATCCAAGGCGGGGTCATCATAAAGAAACTTCCGAGAAACTTCTTCTCGATAAGTCAGGGTCCACACAGTCGATACCCTGTTAAGTCAGGGTCCACTAACAGCCTAGTCTGTTACACTGTACTCAAAATCAGGGATAGCTAAACTATTACTCTGATTGGATCAGGGCTGGAATTTCAATAACTCTGAAATTTCATTCTCCATGAAGTGGAAAGCCTGAAATCACCCTGAAATCAGGGTAATTACCCTGATAAAATCAGCCCTGCTCACAGCCCCTCACACCCCCTCGAAGCGCCAGAAGGAAAGGATGCAAGAGTTGAAGTTGAACAGTTCTGTTGTATAATTCAACAGTTAGACCAATCGAACTCATTTCAAGCGTGCATAGCTATGAGTTCTTGATTCTGGTGTGAAGACGTGGGAGTGGAGGCTTCTTGACCAGGTGTTAGTGGGAGAGAGGATGGTCTAAGAAAAGGACAAGAAAACACAAAACTCACGCGCCAGCAAGGGGTCGAACCTTGGACCTCTCGCTTAGGAAGCGAACACTCTATCCACTGAGTTACAGGCGCTGTCTGTTCAACAAATTCGTTTTATTAAATATTAATTTTGTTAATAATATCAAACTTGCAAACAAGTTTCTCCTGATCAAGCTATTTTCTGTTTCCCACGCGAGTCATTGGCCGAGACATTTCGCTCGATGGAGTTCGTGTCGCCGGAGCAGCTGCGGCTCGACGGCCGACGACCCAAAGAGGTAACCGTTGGACCGCCCCACGTGTCGCAGAAATGTGCGTTCCGAAATCCTCCAGTCGCGCCTCCCATCGGACGACCCGTCCGTTAGAATCGTGCAGTTCCCCACCTGCTAGTAGGTGCGGTGTCGAACCGCGTCGTTATCCAGTAGTACGCTTAGGTTTTGATCGAGTGTAGACCCTCCCACGCTACTTTCCTGTTCCGATGCCTCACAAGCGCGCGCCAGCCGTTTTGATTGTTATTGAGTCGCCGCCACAACCCAGCGCGTGCTCTCCTGTTCAAACGACCTCCAAGCCAGCGCCAGCCCGTGTGTTGTCCTGGGCGCATCCGCCTTTCCCCTTCTCGATCCCTCCTTTCTCTGATAATCCTCCCCTCCCCTTCCACTCTTCGCTCCCCTCGCATTGCGCGCTCTCCCTTCTCCTCGCCTCCTTTCCCCTCCTTTCGCCCGCCTCCCCTGTGCGCGTGCAGCTACGGCAGCTCAAGTGCGAGCTGGGCGTGCTGCGCTCTGCTGATGGGTGGGTGAGATGCTGCTCTCTTCGTGCTTCCCCCCCACTTGCCGCTCCCGCCGCCGCATGCGTGCTTGCCTGCTCGCCCCATGCTTGCCTGCCCGCCCCATGCATCTCCACCCGCCCCATGCATCTCCACCCGCCCCATGCATCTCCACCCGCCCCATGCATCTCCGCCCGCCCCATGCATCTCTGCCCGCCCCATGCTTGTTGCACTCCCTCTTTCGTTTCCTGCTCACCTTTGCCACCTGCAATATTCCCTCCTCTCCCTTCCCTCCTTCTGCTCGTTGCTGCCGCAACTTTTCCCCTCCATCAGTTCTCCCCACGCTCCTGCTCCCGTTTCCCTCCCTCCGCCCTCCCCCCGTTCCCCCCTCCCCGTCGTGGCCCTTCCCACCCCTCCACCTCGCCCCCCTCCTCTTTATCCTCCCACGTGCGCCCATCAGCTCAGCGTCATTCGAGATGGGCAACACCAAGGTGCTCGCGGTCGTGTACGGGCCTCGTGAGGTGAGAAGAACTGCTTTTTGAGTCGACTAAATATTTCACACCAAATCAGCGTCATTTGAGATGGGCAACACTAAGGTCCTGGCAGTCGTGTACGGTCCGTGCGAGGCGAGGGTTCAGGATTCGGGGTTTGGGGTTCAGGGTTTGAGGCTTGGGGCTCAGAGTTTTCGGGGTTCAGAGTTATTGGGGTTCAGGTTTTCTGGGGGCTTTGGGGGGGTTGGGTTTCAGAGCTTAGGATTCAAGGTTTGTAGTTTACGGTTCAGTTCAGAGTTAGGTTGGGGATTCAGGTTTGTGTGTTTGGGGTAGTTTCAGGTTCAGGGTTTGGGGTTCAAGTTTCGGTGTGCAGGGTTAGGGTTTGGACTATGCGGTTCAGGTTTTGGGATTTTTTTTTCCGGTGAAGAATGCTTTGTGGCTACGAGAATCATGTCGGTTTGCTGCTAGTTACGTGGTGGGAAACATTGGTGCTGGACGAATGTGGTGGCTGTCAGTTAGGTGGAAAGGAAGTGAGTGGTCTAGAAGAAAGAGGTGGAAGGAAGGGGTGCGCTTTGAGATGGTAATGATCAGGAATGAATGTTACTACACTGCGTTGTATAGAGTCTCAAACTGAGAAAAGGAAAGAAATGAATGGCCTTGGAGTATTTTGTTCGCTCTGGGGGTGTGCAGATAATTGAATGAAAGCTGTATGTGGTGGCAAACCGCACAGGAAGTGCGAGTATTGCTGGTGGATCAATGCGCATGAGCTATTACTGCTTGTGCCCTGCCTTGATCATCACCTCCTTCCTGGCTCCGTCCCCTTTCCACCTTATCTTGCTTCTCACGCTTCCGAGCCGAACGGACGGCCTTCCATGACTCGGGCGGTGGTGCACTGTGTGTGAGTATGGCTGCAGCTGCTGCTACCCCTCGCCTTGTCTTGTTTCACCTTCATCCCCCTCCGCCCCTATGTCCCGTCCCATACCTCCCAGGTAACCAACCGGGCGGATGCCCTCCCTGACGGGGCAGTGGTGCGCTGTGAGTATGGCATGGCTTCCTTCAGCACAGGGGAGCGACGACGACAGGGGAAGATGGACCGGTGTGTGTGGGGGTGTGGCATGCAGTGAGAGGTTGAGTACGGCATGGCTTCGTTCAGCATGGGGGAGCGACTGACGACAGGGGAAGATGGACCGGTGTGTGTGGGGTGTGGCGTGGGGTGTGTAGGTGCTGCATAGCATGAGCGGCGTGAGTACGGCATGGGGTGTGGCATGGGTTGTGTTGGTCTGGCATGCGCTGTGAGTATGGCATGGAGGCCTTCAGCATGGGGGAGAGACGGCGACGGGGGAAGATGGACTGATGGGTGTCTGATGTGGCATGGAATGCGTAGTTGTGGCATGGAATGCGTAGATTTGGCATGGAATGCGTAGTTGTGGCATGGAATGCGTAGATGTGGCATGGAATGCGTAGATGTGGCATGGAATGCGTAGATGTGGCATGGAATGCGTAGATGTGGCATGGAATGCGTGTGGGGTCGCATGCGGTGTGAGTATGGCATGGTGGCATTCGGCACGGAGGAGTGGCAGTGAGGGAAAATGGACCGTTAGGCATGGGGTATGAATGGGTATGGCATGGGTGTGATTAGCTATGGCATGGGATGCATGTGGTTATATGGGCATGTGGCTGTATGGGCATGTGGTTATATGGGCATGTGGCTGTATGGGCATGTGGCTGTATGGGCATGTGGCTGTATGGGCATGTGGCTGTATGGGCATGTGGCTTTATGGAACAGCTCATTACCTCACAACACAAGGTACCCCTATGTGCAACTCATTTGTCTCTCTGTGTGTGCATGTATGTACTATGTGTATGTATGTGTGCGTGTTTGAGTTCTCTGTACATGTGTGTTTGCGTGACTGTGAGTGGGTGTGTCTGTGACTCGGTGTGACTCTGACTGGACTGGGTGTGACTGTGCGCCCATGAGAATGTATCAGGAGGTCTGTGGAAATCTCGCTAGTCATTCGCCAAACATTAGAAGCAGCCATCATGCTCGAGCTCCTACCGCGCACACAGGTGAGTGATAAGCGGTGATGCACAGTGGATGTGCGGTGATGTGCGGTGAAGCTGTGATGTCTCTGCCATACAGGCGACATGACCTGCTGCCTCACACACAGGGGAAGCATGGCTGTATGCGGTAGGGGTTCTGGTCTCGCACACAGAGTGGGGGCTCATGCCGTCATCTCCTCACACAGAGTGCATCCCACACGTGATTTGCCATCACCGCGTCTCCTTCCGTTCTATTCCATGTCTCTTGTTGCACACTCCAGATCGACATCTAACGTGCCACCATCACTTCATCCACTCCATTCACACCCCATCCCTTACTCCGTGCGCTGTGCCTCAGATCGACATCTTTGTTCAAGTCTTGCAAGCCGATGGTGGTAAGGCATGGTGGGAGGGCGGTAAGGCGTGGTGGGAGGGCGGTAAGGCGTGGTGGGAGGGCGGTAAGGCATGGTGGGAGGGCGGTAAGGCGTGGTGGGAGGGCGGTAAGGCATGGTGGGAGGGCGGTAAGGCGTGGTGGGAGGGCGGTAAGGCATGGTGGGAGGGCGGTAAGGCGTGGCTGGAGGGCGTTAAGGCATGGTGCAGTCCTTGCGGTACAGACAGTCTCATTCCGTTTGAGTTGAACCACCCTCATGGAATGTGATGTCATCCTCACAAGTTGGCGACCCTGTTCACAAGTGTAGCCCGGAAAAGTGTTTCCGCCGTGGCCCACCAGCATGCCCCTTTTCTCCCCTTCCTTCCCACCCATTTCCATCATCTATCATGAATCCCCATCCAACCCTTGTGCCACACACCCCTCCCCATCCATCCCCATCAAAATCCACTCAACCCGCCACGTCACATGCTCACGCACATTCTTCCCTCCCTCCCCTTCCACTCCCTCCCAGGCACTCGCTCCGCGTGCATCAATGCGGCGACACTCGCCCTGTGCCATGCAGGCATCCCCATGCGAGACCTGGTTACCAGCTGCGCCTCTGGTTACCTCAACGCCACTCCATTACTAGGTGAGTGGAGCTGCCAGGTGGCCTGCCAGGTGGCCTTCCAGGTGGGCTGCCACCTATGGACCTGTGGCTAGAGGGGGTGGGGGCCTGTGGCTGCTATCAGCCCCCTCACCCCCTCCCCCCCCCTCCCCCCACCTCTCCCCCTATCCTGAAGTGCCCCAGCTAGTTAGCTAGTTCACTTCCGAAAGATGAGGTCCCGGGATCAAACCCCCCTGCTGGCGTATCCAGCCAGCCCCCCAGAAAGAGGTTCTGGAGGTGCTCATCTGGGAGTGAATATGACTACCTCGATGCCCAGCGAGGCGTGTAAACAAATGGGTAGGCGGGTTACGACTGACAGCCGGGGTAACACCAAAGGGGTTCATCCCCCTCCTTTACCTTTTACCTGCTATCAGCCCCCTGGTTGTCGCCTCTGCCCACTCTGCCACCTCGGCCACTCTTGCCACCACCTCTGCCAACTCTGCCGGAGATGACACGATCTGTGAGGCGCCTCAAGAGTCATTTCACCTCTGCAGCATGTCAGCCGGATTTTGCGTTGCTCCTCATCCCTCCTCCGCTGCTTCCTTGTCATCCGAACACCATACCATACCCTCACCTCTCACTCGCCGCCCCCATACTGTATCCTCGCCTCTCTCTGCCCACCATGCAGATCTGAATTACGTGGAGGACAGCGGTGGTGGCCCAGACGTCACAGTGGGGTACTTGCCGTCGTCCGATAAGATCTCGCTGCTGCAGGTGGGGTTGCTTGGGCTCATGGCTGCATGAATACAGTCACATCCAGTACAGTCACATCTTGTACAGTCACATCCAGTACAGTTGCGGATGATACAATTATGGGTAATGCAATCTTGGACGTTACGGTGGGCTACTTGCCCTCCTCCGATAAAATCTCGCTGCTGCAGGTGGGGTTGCTTGCGTTCATAGCTGCATTATACATTCAATACAGTCGCAGATATTACAGTGCGCTGCAGATTACCTCTCGACAGTCGCAAAAAATCTACATCCAAACGACCTCATATGCACGCCCCCAGCAGCAGCGCAAGGACACATTCGAGGAGGTGGTGAAGCTTGCATGCGTAGCTCCTTGCTTCTAACATCTCTCATGCCCCGCTGCATCTGCCACATGTGCCACAGATGGACCCCAAGCTCCCAGAGGAAGTGGTGAAGCTGTGATGTGCCTGCTTCTCTCGACCTGGACTCGCTGTTTTGAGCTCCAAGAATCCATGCCTCCCAGTGTCTCTGCCTCCCACCAATGCCCTGCGCTGCCTCAGATAGACGCCAAGCTCCCGATGGAGACATTTGAGGAGGTGGTGAAGCTGGCAGTCACGGGGTGCAAGGCCATCGCGCACCGCATGAGACAAGTGAGATTTTCGTGCCAAAGGGGACCGTGTTTGTTGACTGGGGAGTCTGTGGGAGTAAAATCAATGGCTGCTCTTTCCCGTGACATTTTCCAAGATACACTGGTTTGTTGCAATCTGTTTCGTCGAATGTGTGTTATGCAGGTGCTGTTGGAGCATACAGAGCGGTTGGCACTTGCACGTGGAGCAATGCAACTGTAGATGGGTTGAAATTACTTGCTTCGGCAATACCGGTACCCGCTTGAACTCAAGTTTCAATGTTCCTTTGTTTTGCACTAGGCTTTTGTTTTGCTGGGGTTTTTGTTTATCTTTTTTTTCTGTAAACATCCAGCAAGATTTCACTTGTAATTTGCTAAAAGCCTTTCCAGTAAATCTGCCTTCACGTGGAGTATGTCCGTCAGTGTGTAGGGTTAAGCTTCAGAGTGGTGCAAGGCAGATGTTATAATTACATGGATATACATTTCCAGTATTGAACACATACCAGTACAGTGAATAAGCTTGCTTTGCTAGCGAAGTTGCATTGCAAGTTGTGGTTGCACTGGCATCTCTGCTACAGAAATGCTCAGCTTCTTTGCACTTTATGAAACTCCTGAATGTGGACAGAACAACAACGGGGCAAGGCACACACGGAACAAAGTGGCAGAGGAGAGAGCGATGGGAGAGGAGCAGATTGCCATGCGTGTGTCCATGCATGGGCATGCCACTTCTCTAGTGGTGATGTGTGCGCATGTGCAGAGTACGCTGTGTGTGGTGTGCAGAGTGCAGGGTGCAATGCATGCATGCATGTGTACATGCTCCTGCCAAAGCACACGCACAGGAAGGAATCCCACATGTGTTAAACTCATTGCTCCCTGCTCAAGCCCGTGGAGCCAGCCCAAACAGCCGCGCACTGCAAGCCGTCGACTGCACGTCAACTTACAGCACCAGCCACAGCACCCACCATTCCCATCCTCTCAAGCCTATCCTCACCCCCCCACCCCTCACCTGATACAGCCGTCTTGTGCGCGCCACGAGGCTGAGAAGAGCGCAGATGCCAGCGACGCACACGAGGGCCATGACGAGGAAGGTGAGGCGGAAGCAGTCTGGGCCCATGCACCGGTGGGGCAGCTCTGATCCCTCCAGCAGTAGCAGCTGTGCCTCTACTGCCCTTGCTTGACCCGCTGCTGCTGCCTCAGCTCCCCAGTTTGCAATGGTGGTGGTTGTGGGTGGAGAGAGGGAGGGAGAGGCAAGCGAGGAGGCGGAGGAGGAGAGGCCTTGCAGGTGGAGCAAGGCTGACCGTTGGATCGCGGATTGACGGTCGTAGATGTAGCCGGCAAGCTTGACAGAGAGGCAATAGGAGCCGATTGTGGATGATATGCTGAGAGGAGAGGAAGGGAAGAGGAAGAGAAGAGTAGGGAAACCGGGAGAGAGGGTAAGGATGGGCTTCAAGACGTCTCGAAGATTGTAGATGTAGCCGGCGAGCTTCACAGAGGGATATTAGGAGCCAGCTGTGGATGATATGCTGACAGGAGAAGAAGGGAAGAGGAAGAGGGGAAGGAGGGGAAGGAGGGGATGGAGGGGAAGGAGGGAAAGAAGGGAAGAGGAGAAGGACGGGAAGGGAGGGAAGGAGAGGAAGGAGGGAAAGAGGGGAAGGAGGGGATGGAGGGGGAGGAGCGAAGGGTACGCCCAACCAAATAAATACCAAGTCAAGCAGCCAAACGGGTCTGCTGGAATGATGGTGAAGGAGAAACATTACCTATTGATTCAATCTGGTGTAATATGTCTACCTGAGAATGTTGTATATACCAGGGACAAACGTATTCACCTAGAAGCGTGTACAAACCTGAGAGTGCGTTTGACACAAGATTGTGTATTGCGTTTTTTCCCCACGATTGTGTAATTCTCTGAGGGTGCAGATTTTACTGCGAGTGCATATTCACCCAAGACAGCTGGATTCACCTGAGTGTATTATACAAAGCGCCGAAGTGTTTTAGCCCGAACAGCTCTGACGCAGTGGTAACCATGAGCGTCCAGTGCGCTCCATGTGCCGCCCCCACCATGCGAACCCACCCAACATATTCGTATCACCTGAGCGTATTGTAGAGAGCCCCAAAGTGTTTCAACCCGAACAGCTCAGACGCAGTGGTCACCATCAGCGTCCAGTGCGCCCCGTGTGCCGCCCCCACGAGCGCTGCTGCAGGGTAGAGGAGAAGAGGGTCTGCAGGTGGAGAGACAGGGCCACGCATAGGATGGAGTTGGAGCAGGTTGGGAGGTCAAGGGGCAACATTGAATCACGAATGCACCACGTGTGCTGGCCCCACCAACGCTGCTGTAGGGTAGAGGAGAAGAGGGTCTGCATGGGAAAAGGCACGCAGGTTTGGAGGTGGAGAGGGGTAGCAATCGTGACTGGTGGATGCACTGATGCTGTGGTAACCTGGTAAACACCAATGTCCAGTGCTCCCCTCCCCGTGTGCTGCACCCACAAGCATTACGGAGGGGTAGAGGAGAAGAGAGCCTCCAGGTGGAGTGGAGGAAGAGGGCAGAGGGCAAGGGAAGAGTGTACTGAGGGGAGAGAGAGGAATTAGGGAGAGGCATGAAGGATTGGGGGCGGGTATGAAGGATTGGGGAGGGGGCAAGGGGCATGAAGGATTGCTACTCACCCCCAATGCTGAAGAGCAGGTGAGCACACACGTCCCATGGCTGCATGGAGAGAAGGACAAGCCACGTGCCACATGCTATGTGCCCAGCGCACCTCGGATTCATGTGTCACAACAGCACGCAATGTGCCCAGCGCAACACTTGTCACAACAGCACGCAACTCACCCCCGATGCTGAAGAGCAGGTGCGCGCACCCCATGGCGGCCTGCACTAGCAGCATGCAGAGAGGGCGCGGGGTGCTCCAGCGCTTCAAACACTGCTCCGACATGTACCTGACGGAGAGGTGGGGAGGGGGGAAGGGGGGAAGGGAGAGGGGGGAGAGGGGAGTGAGAAAGGGCACAGGGACCACCGGGGGAAGGGCACACTGCCACGAGCAACATGCAGAGAGGGCGCAGTGTGCACCAGCGGTACAAACACTGCTCCGACAAGAACCTGGGGTGGAGGCGGGAGGGGGGCCCGGGGAGGTGGAGGGGGGACTAGGGATGGGGAAGGGGGAACAGGTGAGTGGGGAAGGGGGAAAGGGGACTGGGAAGGGAGAAAAGGGAGTGGGAGGGAGGAAGGGGGTAGGGGTGAGGGGGGAGGGTGGCGGGACCATCGGGGGAAGAGCATACTGTGAGGCGGGATGTTATGAGGGGCATGGAAAGATCGCATGTGGTGTTGCAGGCATTGCTTGTGCATGCAGCTGAAAGGAAAAAGGGTAGGAGAGACAAGGGAGTGCGAGACGAATGGAATGGACAGCAGCTTGTGAAATTTCTCAAAACCAACTGCAAAAAAATGGAAAGAGGATACGAGACGCAAGGGAATGTGAGATGAATAGAATTGGCAGAACAGGAGACGCAGCAAACGAGTTTCGAAAGCAACCGGCCTACCCGGCGGCCATTCTTCCCAGAAAGTTCCAGATACTGACGAGAGCAACCAGGGCGCCCACACTTGCAGAGCCCAGAGACTCTGCCACCTGATGGGGGGGATGGGGGAAGGGGAGGAGGGGGCAGATGGGGTGGGGGGGGAACAGAGAGCCAGTTGGGTTGGGTGCATGAGATATCGCTTTGATTCAACTCAAGTGAGTACAAGAGCAACCAAGACGCACAATCACGCAGAACCTAGAGACTTCGCCACCTGAGTCTGAAAAAAAGGGGCAAGGGGCGGAAGGTTGAGAGAAGTAGAGAGCATTGCAGTTTAGCGCCAATAAACCCTTCCTTGCAGAATCGAGGGTTGAAGGGGCAAGAAAGGAGGTAGAGGTACCTGTTCATCGGTTTCTAGAAACGCGGCCCATTGTTGAAGGCTTCGATCCAAACATACGAATCTCGTGGACCATTTCTGGATGTAGTCTTCGCCAAAAGGCCGCATGTTTTCAGAAACCAATGAACAGATACCTTTACCTCCCTTTTCCCTCATCCCACCCACAACATAGCAAGAAAGTTTATCCACGCTGAACCGCAACACCACCTGCTCACTCAAGCTCGGCGTCGACTTTGTGCTTGTGGTTACCCTCCTGACTTTCTACGGCCGATCTTCGATCAATGGTGTCCTTTTAGCACAACGTGCAGTACTCCTTGCAAAAACTCTTGCAAATGGTGTCCTACAGCGATGAGCTTCTCTTCTTACATGCAGAATACCTAGAGCTGGCGACGACCTGCAAACCTGCGTGGCTCGTCGCAGACTAGGGGTGGTTTTGAGACATCTCAAAACTCTCATCTCCATCTTGGAACATCTCAGGATTAAAATTTTGATCCAGAGAGGTCCCAAACCATGAATTGTTGTGGAAGATTCTAAGTTCCCACCTCCCTTTATTGCCAGTCCTTCAACAACCCCCTCACCTGCGCCAGGTTGTTGATGGCAGTAAGCCCGGAGCCCGTACCACACCCCATGGCGAAGAACAGCAGCCTGGTGGGGGCACGGAGGGGGAAGAGGGTGAGGAGGATGGGGGATTTAGAAAGAATTGAGACTCTCAGAAAGTCGAGAGGAGAAAGAAAGATCGAGGGGTTGTTGATGGCAGGCAGTAAGCCCCACGGTGACAACAGCAGAATCGGAGAAGGAGGGGGGGGGGGGAGTGGGTGGAGGGCCAAGATTGAAGAGGACGGAGGAGGCAGAAACAACAGCAGCCTGGGGGTTGGGAGCCGGAGGGGGAGGGAGTGCTGAGGGGAGAAGGTGGGTTGAGAGGAAGAGAAGCAAGTAATGACTAAGACAGCGTGGAGGGCAGGAAGAAGTGAGAGAGGAGAGCCTTGCTGGTTCATGCTTTCCGGCACCCCTACGTGGTGAGAGAGGAATGCACCTTTACGCTCTAGCCTAGCCCATCCATCAACAACCGCTACCTCTTTCCTGTCCCTCTAACCAGTTCTCAGGAGTGACAGCAGCCTGCAGCAGCGTGTGATCCATGCCACCTGATCCCCACTACATCCCTGCCGCGACTTTTGAGACGTCTCAATGTCCCCTGTAGCTCCCACCTCCCCCTACCCCGTCCCATGCAGCTCCCCTCACCCCTTCCCTGATTAGCAACCTCACACCACCCACCACACCATGCTCACTTCTGTCCCGATCCTCTCACCAATACTCGGGAGTGACAGCAGCCTGCAGTAGCGTGTGATCCATGCCCACACGAAGAGCACTGCTTCGTTGACCCCGCCCCACCTCCAATGGCCCCCCACGGCTGCTCCTCCCCTCAACCTCTAGGCTCTTCCCCTCCTTCCCGCCCTCCCCACACCCAACCACGCCACCCCCATTCCCCCCCATTCCGCCTCCCAAGCCACTGCCTGCTGTGCTGCTGCTGCCGCCCTGCCCTAGTGCTGCTTCCCCCCCACGCCCCCTTGGGCTAACCGCCCTCTCACTCGCCCCACCTGCATTCCTATCAGACGCGGGTGTGCTTGTAACGAATCTATCAAAACCCACCCTCTCGCTTGCACGCCCTGCACCACTGTGGGAGGCGGGTGTGCTTGTAAAGGAGGTGGCCCTAAGCGGGCTCCCGTCAGTGTCACTAAATGACTCACAGCTCCCCTTTCTGCTTATAGGCCCCATACCACTGCCGCTCCCCCCGCCGCCACCACCGCCGCTGCTGTCGCCGCCGCTGCTGCCGCCGCTGCTAGTGTTGCCGATCCGGCCACTGTTGCTGCTGGTGTCAGTGCAAGCGAGCAGAGGGGTATCGTCGCCATCAGGGAACAAGGAGTGGTCCGTGCGTGTGGCAGAGGGCTTGAAGGTGAACGAGGTGGCGGAAGAAAGGTGGTCGTGGTACTCGTGTGGCGAGTGGAGAGGCAGCTTGGAAGCCATGGGGCTGCCTGCTTTTACCCACTGTAGGTGATAGACGGCATGGAGAGGAGGATGAGAGAGCAGGAGGGGGGAAGGGAGGGTGATTCTGAGTCGACTCACAAGTCACCTCGTGGTGGTCGTGTGGCGAGTGGAGAGGCAGCTTGGAGCCCCAAGGGCTTCCTGCTTTGGCCCACTGGAGGGGATATTGGGGCGGGGTGATGAGAGTTGGAGGGGGAACAGGCAGGTAGAGACGAAGTGAGGAGTTGGAGAGGAGAGTCCGGAAGGGAAGGAAAGAGAAACGGGTGAGAGGAGATGGAAAGTGTTGAGATTCGGATGGAGGGCTTGGTGATGAAAGGGACAGGGCGAGGGAGAGGGAGAGGGAGAGATGGAAAGAAAGGGGCATGACTGTGGTTAAAGAAACAGCTATGCGATATCCACCTTGGTTAACTCCACTCCACCCCCCCAAGCATTGGTCCATCATGGACCATGCTGTGGTTGGGAATGTTTGGAATAGAGAGTGCGGAAATGGCAACGGAACTTTTGAGAGGAGAATGGTCAGTCCGGGATGGAGGAACGTCAAACCGCACCTTAACAAGGAATGGGGAAGGCTGTACGAATGAGGGGAGGGGGAGCGGGTGCAGCAGCATACCGGGAGGGAGATGGGGAGGGCGAGCAGCAGCACCATTCCAGCCATGGACACAAGGCGATAGGGGCGGGAGAGGGACAGGGTTTCCTGGGTTATGCATGGGTGGGGCACAGGGAGGGAGTGGTTGGGACGTAGCGTGGGGCATGGGTATCAGAAACAATATACGAAACATGGCATTGATAAGAAATATGTATTTCAGATTGGAAGCTGGTACGAGCATGAGGCAGGGCGTGAAGCAGAGGTAGAGCATGATCCAGGGCATGAGGCCTACTCCCACCATGAGGCCGAACATGAGGCAGAACATGAGGCAGAACATGAGGCAGAACATGAGGCAGAACATGAGGCAGAACATGAGGCAGAACATGAGGCAGAACATGAGGCAGAACATGAGGCAGAACATGAGGCAGAACATGAGGCAGAACATGAGGCAGAACATGAGGCAGAACATGAGGCAGAACATGAGGCAGAACATGAGGCAGAACATGAGGCAGAACATGAGGCAGAACATGAGGCAGAACATGAGGCAGAACATGAGGCAGAACATGAGGCAGAACATGAGGCAGAACATGAGGCAGAACATGAGGCAGAACATGAGGCAGAACTATGAGGCAGAACATGAGGCAGAACATGAGGCAGAACATGAGGCAGAACATGAGGCAGAACATGAGGCAGAACATGAGGCAGAACTATGAGGCAGAGCAAGGGTTTTACGGCTCTACAGCACACCTGCAGCGTCATGGCAAGCATGAGGTAGAGCGCTAGTCCCACTCCCACCACCTGCACGGGGAAGGGACCAGTGCAACGTGCACATGAGAGAACAGTGTGCGGAGTTTGTGTGAGCGAGCAAGCTCAGTTGGGAGAAAAGGTCGGGCTAAGGAAGGGAGAGCATGGTGGGATTAGAGGGGGGAAGGGATGTGCAAGCAGAGTGGCAGCACGACACAGAGGGACGCGCAGGCAATGCACATGGAGGAAGCGGACGTGGATGGTGCTGCTGCCGATATCTCTCTTCTCAGCGGCCAGCAGTCGCGGATGACAGGCATGTAGAGTAGAGAGGCATGTGGGTTGGGGATACGCATTAAGACGTTTGAGTCGACTCAGAAGTCACATGTCCTACGCACATAGAGGAAGCGAAACCGGGTGTTGTCGCCAGTGTCTCTCCTTGCAGCGGCAAGCAGGTGAGGGTTCATGGGGCGAATGACTGCCATGGCGAGCAGCGCCACTAGTGGCGGCAGCAGCGCACAGAGCAGCAGAAAGGGCGCCGTGTGGGGTGCGTAGAGAGCGGAGTAGAGCTGGGGAAGGAGAGGACAAGGAGGGGGAAGAGGGGAATCGGAGTTGTAGCGCGTGCGAATACATACAGGGAGGGGTTGGGCTGGAAGGCCGGGAGGGGAATGCACGGAGCGAGTTAGGGATGAAGAGGGAAGGAAGAGAGGTAGCGAAGCAAGGAATAGCCAACACCAGGCACAGACTTTCCTTCCCCCACGTTCCTCCTCTCTCCCCCTCCCCCACAATATGACTAACCTGAGAAGATAATTCCGCGGGTGGTTCTTATGAAGGCCCCCCACCCATCCCCCAGTCAACCCCACAAATACTGCCTTTCCCATCACCACCAGAAACCCGTCGCTCATAGGTACTCCTTTCCACCTCCACCACCATCGCCCTCCTCCGTTTGACTGACCTCAGCTCTATTGCCTCCACTGAGTCGTATAATGTCCCTTGAGCAGCCCCACCACCTCACAGGCAATGCTGCTGCCACTGCCAGGCCCCTTCTCAATCTGACTGACCTGCGTGAAGATGGCGCCGCTGAGTCCAATGAAGCCCTTGAGCAGCCGCACAGGCATTGCTGTTACCTCCATCCCTCACAGGCACTGTCGCCCATGCCAGGCCCCTTATCAATCAACCTCACCGACCTGAGTGAAGATAGCACCGCTGAGCCCTATGAAGCCCTTGAGCAGTTTCGCCACCCTCACAGCCATGGCCGTTACTCCCAGCCCCTTCTCAACCTCACTGACCTGAGTGAAGATAGCTCCGCTGAGCCCTATGAACCCCTTGAGCAGCCCCACCACCACGCCCCTGTCGCCCTCAAAGTTGCGAATGCTGCCAGGTGGAACCAGACACAAGGGATGGGGATCGGGGGAGGAACGGGAAGGGGAGAGGCGGAAAGCGATGGGGGAAGTGGGTCGAGCGCAGAAGGAATGGCGGGACGACAGTAGAGGGGAAAGACGGGTCCGGTTGTTTGGGCGGGCGGAGAGGGGGCGTGGGACGAAGGAGACGGAAAAGGGGAAAGTGGGAGCTTGTAGGGGAAGCAGCAAAGTGGTTGTGGAGCCATGCACGTGAGTGAGAGCTTGTATGGCTTTTGAGGGTTCTCAGAAGTGATACACACGCAGAGGTCGAGAGGGACCCTCACCACGTGACGAGCACGGCCGTGTTAAACCACGTGGCTCCATTGGTTCCCAGCATGATGAGCAGGTGCAGAGAGAGGAGAGCATACGCGCAGGTGAGCAGGAGAGGTCAGCTGGTGCATGTGTGTGTGTGTCATGTGTGGACACTGGACAGGGGGCTCACCAGGTGACGAGCACGGCCGTGTTAAACCACGTGGCTCCATTGGTTCCCAGCATGATGAATGCACACATCTGCCACGTGGCATGGCATGGCATGAAATGGCATGGCATGGCATGAGATGGCATGGAATGGCATCGCATGGTATGGCATGGCATGGAATGGCATGGCATGGCATGACATGGCATACATAGGCATGGCATGGATAAAATGATGTGATGATGCAACCATGCGACCCAGCACATGATGATGAATGGCACGCCACCCACACACACAGTGGATGCACATGAGGATTGGGTTGGATTGAACACACGGACACATGGTTGCACGTATTGGGACGAGGGACGATACTCTTGAACCCGCAGAAAAGCAAGACATTTGAAGGTATGAGAGCATCGAGAGAGCATTGGGTTTGGGTGCAAACAAAGGCAAGAGCAGAATCACCTGTGAGGCTACTTGAGACACACACAATCAGTCAGTCACAATTATCTGAGACTCGGTTCACCTGAAGAATCGCAGGACTACTGGCCAACTAGCCGGCAAGACTCGCCTGAACAGGATATTTTTGCATAAGCAGGTGTTTCTGGTTTCAGAGAGAGATCCCACTGCAAGAGCCGTGGGGGGAACGCACCTGCCAGAATGGAGGGCGGGTGATCCCCATCGACGCCATGTACAGCTGGCACGCGGTGATTGGTGGCGGGAGGGAGAGAGGGGGGCGAGGGTTGAAAGGGCGGAATAGGGAGGTGGTGAGGAACTGAGACCCGGATAGGTATTTAGCGGGGGAAGGGGAGTGAAAGGAGGAGGGGGATGGAACAGGGAGAGGGATGGAAGCGGGGACGAGGAGGAGGGGGGATAGGGGCAGAAAGCGAGAGAAGGAGAGCGCTTTGTGTCGATGGAAGTACTAAGCTGATTCACGGATGCAGTCAGGTGCAATGTTCACTGCGCGCCTATAACGAGGATAGGTGTACCATGGAGTACCCGAACAGATGCATGGCGGCGCCTATAGCGAGGATAGCCCATGCGGGCATGAGATCGATCAGTAAACCCGATACAATCCCCACGTTCCCGCCAATGTCCTTTGCGGTCCCTAAGCCGTCCACGGCTTCCTGCGAGTACTGTAGCTTGTCTTTTAACGCGGCGGAGTATAACGAGAACGCGTACGAGATCCCCCCGCACGCCTGCAGCCACATGCCGAGAATGAGCCCCAGCCACCGGTCCCGCCACATGCGCTGCACGCGATTCCACAGCGTCGCCATTGGCTCGCGCTAGGTCTAGTACCGACGCGAATTACGACGGCGCGGGTCCCGCGAAGAGGAGAAGCGGTATCACGGGTGCTAGTCTGCTAACAGTGTCGGATTCTCAGCTGCTTGATTGGACTCTAAAGCGCGGCGCGTGTTGGGCGGCAATGTGATCCTAATTCGCGGCGCGTCGAATGCAAACAAGGTGAGGCTGACGTGAAAACTACACAAGGGAATGACTGCAGGCGAGCCGTCGGTAAGTATACGCGAAGAATTCAAAAGCCGACGTCGAGCAAACGGGCCGTTGCCTGCCAAGCCGCCTGCTTCATCACACCCCATAGCTAAAACGCATGCACAACAATGGTAGTAATGGATGGTTTGATCCATCCTCTTTGTAATCTGAAGCTCTAAGAACTCTCAATACAAAACGCTTTTTGTATTAATGGCTCTTCCTGAACTGTACCTTCTCTGAGGTTGAGGTTGGTACAGCTGGCTTTACCCCGAACAGGGCTCGTCATTGGTCATCTGAAGCGCATTCGGTAGGATATGCTCTCTTTATTTTTCCGACGGTTCATGAAAACGGCCAGTTGTTGGATCGGACCAAGTCCAAATTGCACGCATTAAACAGCTCATCGTAGCTGTCTTTAGACCACAAAATTGAGCTGAACTTCTTGTCATATATCACCTTCTATACGATATTTCCCTACCACATCACCCTCTAACCCTGGTCCCTATCAATCGCACCACGTCACTCACCCCGCTTTCCACATTAGTCAGCAATTCAGCCAGCCAATTGTCTAAAGAGCTTCTTCCTTCCTCCCTTCCCTTTTTCCTGTAGCCAGTCAGTGAACATGGTGCTCTTTGCCGTTCTCCACACGACCTCGCGAATTCCTAGCTCCTGCTTGCTCTTCCTTTTCCTCCCAAATTTCTTGCTCACTTTCTTTGGAAAGCTCTTACTCGTTCAGAATTTGCGCGCTCGCTGAGATCATACCGAGGCACTACCGAAATCGTGCGTTATTTCGACGTTATACAGGCGTTTTTCGATTTTGGCGCTATTCGGGCATCACTCGCATGTTATTTGGACATTACTACTGATCCACCTCCACTTCCCTCACTTATGGATGAGCTAGAGGCTCACCTAGCCCCTTCTCCCACTTAGGTGGCCACTCTAGTAGATGTCCTTTGTTCTTCAACTTTATGTCTCCGCTCCGATGTTAGAATAAGCAGGCAGGGATGGTGGACTAGGTAGCATGCATGAGTACAAGTACCTGACCCCTAAAGTGTTGTACCCCTTGTAGGCTAACCCACTATAGCCTAGAAAGAACACAAACATAAAGTTTGACACACCCCCATAGGCTAAGTGGGAGATAGCAAACACAACAGACGGTCACAAGACCAGTCAAGCAAGAGAACAAGCAAAGCAAAGCAAAGCTCAGGGTAGATCTCAAGGACACCACACAATCTGAGCACAAGCAAGCGGCCACAAGGCCAGTTCACATGCAGAGTTATAATAGCAAGACAGTACACTGATCACAACCTAGGAAGAGCAAACAAGCAGGTATAAAGATATATATCAGTGTACAACAAGAGCAAGTCAAGCAACCAGCAGGTGAGGCAGAGTGGGCACAAGCCCAAGAGCAGTGCAGAAACGGTGATGATCACCAGCCCCAAGGGCCTTGGTGAAGACATCAGCAGTGTTGGCCCGAGAGGCCACGAAAGCAAGGCGCAGCTGACCACGCTGCTGCAGCTCACGCGCAAGGAAGTAGCGAAAAGCAATGTGCTTCGTTCGGTGCTCCAGTCTCTGCTCGCGACACAAGGCAAGCATTGCCTTGTTGTCGACGTACAGAACCGAAGGAGAACGAGGCCGCTCCCCCAAGTCGGTCAGCAGGTAGGTCAGCCAGCGGAGCTCCTGTGCAGCCATGGCCCCAGCATAGATCTTGTCAGAACATTATAGCTTATGCTGTTATGTAGGCTATAGTGGGGTATCCCATAGGGGGTACAACCAATTAGGGTTTCATATTTGTACTCACTTCATTTCATAGTTCATTCATTCTTGTTCTAATCTTCTCATGGTATCGAGCAGGTTCCCCCTTGGGAACTGTGCTTAGGGCCCACCACATCGATTTTTTTTTCCTGCCCGAAGCGCGCTCAGCCCGAGTCGCGCTCCGGGCCCTCACTTCGTCGAGCCGCCCTAGCGGCCCTTCACTGCGGCCCCGCCGCCTGTCTCAGCGGCCTCGCCGCCCTTTTCTGAGGCCCCGCCGCCTCTCTCGTTGCGGACCCGCCGCCCTTCACTGCGGCCCCGCCACCCGTCTCAGCGGCCCCGCCGCCCGTCTTCGCGGCCCCGCCGCCTCTCTCCCAGCGGCCCCGCCGCCCCTTTTGCAGCGGCCCCGCCGCTCCTCTGCAGCGGCCCCGCCGCCCTACCCAGCGGCCCCGCCGTCCTACCCAGCGGCCCCGCCGCTTCTCTGCAGCGGCCCCGCCGCCCGTCTTCGCGGCCCCGCCGCCTCTCTCCCAGCGGTCCCGCCGCCCCTTTTGCAGCGGCCCCGCCGCTCCTCTGCAGCGGCCCCGCCGCCCTACCCAGCGGCCCCGCCGTCCTTCTGCAGCGGCCCCGCCACTTCTCTGCAGCGGCCCCGCCGCCCTATCTAGCGGCCCCGCCGCCCTTTCTGCAGCGGCCCCGCCACTCCTCTACAGCGGCCCCGCCGCCCTACGCCAGCGGCCCAGCCGAGCCGCCCAGCAGCAGCGCAGCCGAGCCGCCCAGCAGCAGAGCAGCCGAGCCGCCCCGCCGCCGAGCCGCGCTGCAGCCGAGCCGCCCGGCCGCCCACCAGCCGAGCCGCCGTGCAGCCGACCGCCCAGCCGCCGAGCCGCCCAGCTGCCGAGCCGCCCAGCCGCCGAGCCGCCCAGCTGCCGAGCCGCCCAGCCGCCGAGCCGCCCAGCTGCCGAGCCGCCCAGCTGCCGAGCCGCCCGAGCAGCCCTGTCCGGTGAGCACAGACCCTCTGTCACTGCGTGCTCTTCCCCTACTCCTTGCACTGCTGGTCTACTGCTGTCATGGCTACCCCCAGTGTCCTCACTTTTGACGCTGAGGGTCGGGCCATTGACTTTGAGATCTGGGTAGATGACCTACAGCTGTTCTTACAGTGCGATAGGGCGGACGGCCTCTCTCTCTTTGACCTCACCTCTGGCGCTTCCCCTGCCCCTGCTGCTGATGCTGACGCCACTGTTCGCTCCCAGTGGGCCACGCGCGATGCTGCTGCACGTCTTGCTGTGCGTCGTCACCTCCCTACCTCCGAGCGTGTGCACTTTAGTCAGTACAAGAGTGCTCAGACCTTGTACGCCGCTGTAGTCGCGCGCTACTCCTCCCCTTCCACTGCTGCACTGAGCCGTCTCATGCTGCCGTACCTCTTCCCTGACCTTGCTTCTTTTCCCACCGTTGCTGACCTCATTACGCACCTCCGCACTAGTGACACTCGCTACCGCGCTGCACTTCCTGCTGACTTCTGCACCGCGAACCCCCCCCCGATGTACATCACTCTGTACTTCCTAGTCACTCGCCTCCCTGACTCCCTTCGAGTAGTCAGGGACCACTTTCTCTCAGTCTGTCCCACCACACTCACTGTAGACCTCCTCGAGAAGGCCCTCCTCGCGATAGAAAAGAGCATAGTCGCTGTAGGAGCCTCTCGAGGTGACCCGCGCACCCCCATCTTTGAGGGGTGTTCTCCCTCCCCCCTGCTGCCCTCTGTTGCCTCTGCTGCTTCGGCCGACCTCCTTGGTCTTGAGTCGGTCGGTGCGGCGTCTTCCCCTAGCGGGAGACGCCGCTCTGGCAAGGGCAAGGGGGGCAAGGGAGCTGGAGGAGCGGGCGGTGGAGGTGGAGGTGGAGGCAGTGGGGGGAGTGGGGGTAGCGGTGGAGGTGGAGGTGGGGGTGGGGGGTTCGGTGGCGGCAGTGGAGGCGGAGGCCGCGGCGGCGGTGGCGGTGGTAGCGGAGGTGGCGGAGGAGGCGGCGGTGGAGGAGGCGGTGGAGGCGGCGGCGGCAGTGGAGGCAGCGGAGTCGGTGGAGGCGGTGGGGGTGGCGGTGGAGCTGGTCGCGGGTCTTTGCAGAGGAGTGGCTCAGGTGGTGGCTCGCGCCAGCAGCAGCAGCGTGGTCGTGCGACCCTGTCCCCTCAGCAGCTCCGTGAGTGGTACACTGCACGCCAGCGGGGTGGGGGTTTTGGTCCGTGTACCTACGTCCTGCGCACCGGCGACCGTGCGGGTGAGCAGTGTGGGGGTGCGCACCCCACTCCGCGCTGCTTTGGCCGCCTGACGGACGCATGGCGTCACCAGTTCCCGGAGGCCTCCGAGATCCCTCGCTGGGACGAGCTGTCTAGGGCGGGGGTTGCCATCTTTGATCTGGACTTTGATGCTATTCTCTCTGCCATGTATGCTGTGTCTATTAGTGATGAGGGTGACTGTTACCGGTGTTTCCGGCCCGATCCGGGCATTGAGACTGCTGCTCTAGGTACTGGTGAGGCTGCTGCCCTAGGTGCTTACGACGCTGCTGCTCTAGGTGCTGGTGTGTCTGCGTCCTCAGGTACTGGTGAGTCTGCTCTCTCAGGTACCGCGTCGGCTTCGGCCTCCCTCACCTTCACTCTTGACTCTGGGGCGTCTCGCTCCTTCTTTCGGGACCGCACCACACTCACGCCGCTTAGTCGGCCGGTTGCGGTGTCTCTGGCTGACCCCTCTGGGGGTCCGGTCCTGTCTTGTTTCTCCACAGTCCTCCCGTGTCCGGCGGCTCCCTCTGGCACCCTGTCTGGTCTCTACCTCCCCTCGTTCTCGACGAACCTGGTGAGTGGTGCTGACCTACAGGATGCGGGTGTCCACCAGTTCACTCCTGCACGTCGGCGAGTGACCCACTGTACAGAGGCTGGCACAGGCCGACACCTGGCTACGTTCACCCGTCAGCCGGGGTCGAGCCTGTACACTCTGACCACTGCGTCTCCTCCAGTTGCTGAGTCTGGTAGGGTAGCTACGTCGGGTCAGGTGTTTGCTGC